ATCATCAGAAGAACATATGTAAAAAATATATAAACTTAGAAGTAGCATTCCAGAACTATAAAATTGTTGATCTTTATTCCTTAAATATTGCTTAAAAATGGGTTCCCTTATTTTCATTTAAGAAAATCAAAATACTAATACCTATATGAATAGAAAGTAGACGTGAGAAAGGTCATAAAGACTTTTTTTTGTTTATCCAGACTGTACATACATAGACATGTATGATTGGTTAAAACTCCTAATCATCTGCCATAAGAACATAATATGATTAAGAATACATGATAATTCATTAGAAACACCAATTAACCAAATAGCTTGCATAATTTGGCATTAAAAAACAAGGAAACCCATCTTTAAGGATCTACTTCCATGATCAATCTTGGAAGATGAAGGATTCCTCTAAGTAGAAAGGTATCAGAAGCACTGATTATTGGAATAGTTTAAATTGGTACAAATTGAATCTTTTTTATTAGTTTTCTGACTTTTTTACTGACTAACAAGAGAACAAAGTCAATTTGAAAACTTTTATTTCTTTCCACCTCAGTTTCTAGGTGCTTTGATGAGGTCAGCCCCTCTGACCTGCATCACAGACATGAAATATCTGAAGGTGTTATCTTGACCTACGGCTGGATCAAAGCCTAAATTTAGGCATTTCTACCCTATAGTCTATAATCAAACTTACCTGATAAGAATTATTTCGCTGACACTGAAATAATTTGATCATATTACCAGAACCAACACCAGTTAATGTTAAACATAGATCTAAATGTTTTATACTACCATCTTTACTTAATGAAAATTCCTGTAACAAAGAGACCATTTAGTAAGTATTGGTAATCTTTATATAGTGGAAATATAACTAATAATACAATTGGCACATATGAAACATACAATTGGCACATATGAAACATACAATTGGCACATATGAAACATACAATTGGCACATATGAAACATACAATTGGCACATATGAAACATACAATTGGCACATATGAAACATACAATTGGCACACATGAAACATACAATTGGCACACATGAAACATACAATTGGCACATATGAAACATACAATTGGCACATATGAAACATACAATTGGCACATATGAAACATACAATTGGTACATATGAAACATACAATTGGTACATATGAAACATACAATTGGCACACATGAAACATACAATTGGCACATATGAAACATACAATTGGCACATATGAAACATACAATTGGTACATATGAAACATACAATTGGTACATATGAAACATACAATTGGTACATATGAAACAGTCTCAGATTTGAATTTTATAATGAAAATATGAGGTTGTTGATTTGATTATATTTGCCATGCCAATCATGCTCTGGTATGTCTGTGTTTTTTCTCTTCTTTCTTAGATCCTTTTTAATATATCATAGATGTGCCATCAAATGTTCAAAAACAGTAAGTGTGGC